CACGGACCTTCCTCCCAACGTCGAGGCCACAGCGGTGCCCACCCAGGCTGGCCGGGTATGTGTGTGTGTGCATGCGTGTGCACACCCAAGCGGAGCCCAGCCTGTCTCCTGACTCACGCTCCTGGGCACCCCCGAGCCCCAGGCTCCTCCACGAGGGACCTCAGCAGCAGCGGCTGAGGAGCCGGGCGTCCTTCCACCCTGCACCACAGCTCACAGCCCAAGGCCATGGAGGGAAAATGAGATGTGGTCTCACCAATTAAATAGTTTAAAAAGGAATTCTAAGGCAAGAAGCATGGGAAACTTCTGACCTTACTTACCAGGAAAAATGAAGATAGATTGGATTTAAATTTCAGAGGAAAAAACCTATTTCAATTTCCACTCCTGTTACAGAAATGACTAAGTACAAAAAAGAAACAAAAATTTCAACAAGTCATAGGATCTCAAAGCTAAACCAACAAATCAATCTTAAAGACTCAGTGACCCCCCCCTACTCTAGGAAGGAGGGGGTCGCCCCCCACCCCGACTCTAGGAAGGAGGAGTCAGGGCTGAGGCATGAGACTCTTTCTCTGCTGCTCGCTGGGGGTAGCCCAGAGACTCATGTAGGGGAGGTGACCAGGTCACCTAAGTATGCACTGTCAGGGATGTCTGCAAATATTTTCTTTAAAAATCAGACAGAAAAAATTTAGTTTTCTCTTCCTTTCAGATAAACCGCTATGAAATTAAAACAGAATCATCATTCTCCACCACGTGGTGTTTATTGCCTGGGGTTAAATTCCGCTTGGCCACAATAACCTGCACTGTTTCTTCTCTACAGGTCTGGGCTGTAGAGAGCTCTGAGGTGGGGCAGTTGTTTGTTTTTTAAACAAACTGGAAGTATTTTACAGAGAAGCTTGTAAAACCAGGCAGAGCGTTTCATCGGAATTCGAGTGGCCTGGAGGAAAGAACCAGAGCTCATTGCTCATGAGCTCTTAGAACCGCTGAAAGCTCAGAACAGCATAAAAAAAGAAGCATGATTTCAAGTATTCTTTGGGTTCCATTTTTCGCTCAAGGTTTTCAAAGATCAGCTAAGAGTTTAGTGAACGTGGGTGCAGACGGCTCTGCCCTGCCGCTTCCACCCCGCGTGCGGGGGCCTGAGAGCAAAGCTGAGCGCAGGTCCCGGGGAGGCTCGATTCTTCTTAAGGAAAGGGTAACCAGCAACCGCTCCCAGAAATGCAATTCAGATCCACCTCAGAGGGCTCCCTTTCAGTGAGGGAAATGAGTAATGAAACTCTCCACCATTTGTGATGTAAATAAGCAGAGACAGACACCAGAGCGAGGCACCGAGTACACACGACAACGAACACTGCACAAGGCGTCCACACCAAAAGGATGGGTTAGAAACACCAAGACAGAGCCGGGCCGAAGCTGGCTTTGCGATCCTGTCGAGGTTGGATTTTTAAAGACATGTGATCTGGAGACCCCAAGAGGAGCGGGTTTGCTCACACCTCACAAAGTCCCCGGTTCGTTCCAATGCTCAGTTCCTCCCGGAGACCCCACGGTGGTGTCCCTGCCACTCAGACGGTCATGACAGTCACAGCGGGGGCTTCTACATGGGAGCACCTCTCCTACGCCTGGGAGGAGCCACCTTCTCCTCCATCAGACCCTCAGTTAGCTCATGAAGTGCTTTCCAGGCTCCAGCCTGAGTGGGAGGCTTGACAGGTCAGTGGCCCCCAATGGGGCGTGCCTGGGACCCACTGGGGTGTTTGGACAGACATGGGGCTCAAGTCAGCAGGAGCGGGGCCAGAGAAGCTTGTCCAGAACTAGGGCAGGAGCCTGGAGACTGAGGAGCGCACGAGGCCCCTGAGAAAGGACGAGAAGGGGACTTGCCCGTAGACGCGCCATTAATAACAAGGACCCAGCGTGAGGACGGTGAGGCAGCAGAAACTCTAAAAGCTTCCAGAAGGAAAAACAGGTCACTGTGATACTGTCATACAAGAAGTATGTATTTGGTCCTCGTCCGGTTCCTGGCACAGAGCTCCTAAAACCCTGCGAATTTCCTGATGTGAGAGGAGCGTCTCTTGTTATTCCTAACAAGCCCCTCTCAGCCTGACCTGGGTTTACACTAACAGGTGACTCTGGGAGGAGGGGGCTGGTTGCCAGGGGGACCGACCACCTGATACCAGGGTTGGAACTTTCAGCCCCACCCCCAACCTCTGACCTCTGACCTCTGAGGAGAGGAGAGGCTGGAGACTGAGCTAACCACCAATGGCCAACAACTTAATCAATCACACCTGCGTAAGGGAACCTCCATAAAAACCCAGAATGGGAGGGTCTGGAGAGCTCCTGCGGTGGTGACCATGGGAGGTGCTGGGGGACGGCGCTCCCCGGCAGCATGGAAGCTCCACGCCCCTCCCACTCCTTCCCTGTGCGTCTCCTCCACCTGCTGTTCCCCAGTCCTATCCTTTATGATAAACAGTAAACAGTTATGTAAAGTGTCTCCCTGAATTCTGTGAGCCATTCTAGCAAATTATGGATCCAGAGGGGGGGGTCATGGGAACCTTGATTTATAGCCAGTCGATCAGAAGCTCGGGTGACAACCTGGACTTGTGAGTGGCATCTGCAGTAGGGGTGGTCTTGTGGGACTGAGCTCTCAGCCTGTGGGGTCTGCACTAACTCAGGCAGTTAGTGTCAGAACTGTTTAATGTGAGGAAAAAACCCCACAAATTTGGTGTCAGAAGTGTGTGCAGAAGAAATGCAAGTGTTTCCCTTTAGTCATCTGCAAAAGAGCAGGAGTCAGACTGCATGAAGACTTCTCATCATCAACACCCAAAGTTCTGAGGAAAACTGCTCAGACAGAATCACAGAACCAGGCAAACCAATAATGTCCGTGCATGCAAAGAAAGACATGCCAAGTCCACCTTCCCCATATCCTTTCTTGAAAAGGTGTTTGGGGATACACTCCAGCAAAGAGAGAGAATAAACCAAAAAATAGAAAGACATGAGATCCAATGAATGATGAATACAACCCAAGAGGCAACCAGTAGGTCTTGCAGGTGGGCAGTCTGTGTCCTGAGTGTCCACACCCAGGGACCGGGCGGGATGTGGGGGAAGGGGAACACACTTGGAAAGCTATCCCGTGGTGACACAGAGCAATGATAAAGACTGCAAAAAGTCAAGGAAATTTTATGGAGCTAGAAGACAGAGAACAGAAATATAAACAGAACACTGTTCTGGCTGCAAGGAGCTCACAGATGGACAGACACATGGGTGCACTGTTAAAGGTGCAGCAGTGAAGGAAGCATAGGGCAGGGGTCCATCATTCAGCCTTGTGGTGGGGTCGGCAGTCCACCAGGGCAACTAGAATTCAACATCAAGGGAAGCATGTGGAGAGCCCTGGGCATCGTGGGAAACCCCTGGGACTTAAGGGCCTCTGAGGGAGCTCACAGTCCCAGTGAGATCGGGACCTTCCAGGAAGAGATTCCTGCAGGATGACTGCCCACTTGCCCCGGGGCCATCTCAGCCAGAGACCTCATCCCCGGAAGCCCGGAAGACGGGAGACGGGTTCCTTCACTCGGCTGAAAACAGATTCTACCGCAAATATACTTACAAGATGGAAAAAAATGAAGCTGCCAAAGCAAATCATTCTGTGCTCAGCACCCGGCTTAAAATATCTGCCGGACCCAGTGGCTCAGAACCATTTCCTTCTGAACTGAACAGAATCCCCGCAGAGATCAGAGGCGGCCGCGCTCATGTGAAAGCCGTGAGCCGGCTTCATAAAGCTGCGCTCTCTGCACGCGAGGCCACTGGGGCTTTTCCAACTGTCACAGGCTCCCCTTTTAAAGGTCTATTAAAGTCTCACAGATCAACTCTGTCTTGACTTCATCTTCTGCTAAGTGACAGCTCAAATGTTTAGAATGACTCTTTAATCCTGTGGAGGATAAAACACGGCAAAAACTATTTTTTATAGTAACTCAGAAGAGAGAGAGGCAGTGGCTGAGCTGAAAGCCCATACCGCTGCCAACCCCACGGTTAACCGATCCCTCCGGAAGGGACGGTCAGGCTCCCACACGAACCTGAGATGCGGTGCCCACTGCCCAGAGTGGAAGGATGGATTTCCAACAGCTGCAATACCACCCTTTTTCTTCCACGTGTGAGGGGAGAAACTAGAAACGCAGCTGAGATGGTCAGTGCCCGCAGTGCACAATCGCAGCCAGGCCCAGGCAGCGCCAGGGACGAGCACCCTCTGGAACCCTCTAGAAGGTGACTGCCCACTCACCCCGTCCCCCTAGTCTCCCCCCACTTCCAGGTCTGTTTGAGAATCTCAGAGTCTGGTTTTGGTCCCGACCGCAGGGTGGGCTCATGAAGTGTGCACTTGTGCGTCTACTACTGCTCCCAGGCTCAGAGCATCCGTGCCCTTCTGCAGGAGGACTTGGAGGGAGGACTCCAGAGGAAGGGCTGAGGAGGGTGGACTATGGAGGGAGGGCTTGGAAGGAGGACCTGGGAGGGAGGACTCCGGAAGGAAAGCTCGGGAGGGAGGACTCAGAGGGAGGATTTAGGAGGGAGGACTCGGAGGGAGGGCTTGCAAGGGACTCAGAGGTAGGTCTCAGAGGGAGGACTCGGGAAAAGGAATCAGAGTAAGACCCAGGAGGAAGGACTCGGAGGGGGGCCTGGGAGGCTCGGGGGCCCGCAGGCTGCCGCGGGCAGGAGCAGTTTGCGGGCCCAGAAGCGCAGCGGATTGTCCCTCTGCAGTCCGGCTGCTCCGCTGCAGGCAGCGCCCACGTGCCCGCTGCCCAGTCGCCCCCTGGCTGGGAAATAGGGTGTCCGCGCGGCGCCCCGAGGTCGGCCGAGCTCCAGGTGACCCGACGCGGGGGCCCGGTGCGGAGTCATCTGCGAGGACCCTCATACCCAGACTCACCCGGACCGCAGCAGGGAGGGGCGCGTGGCCGGGAGAGGACGGCCTGGGGGAGGGGCGGGGTCGCGGATGGGCGACACTGGCGGAGACCCGGGGTTTGCGGACTCACAGTAAATGAAGGCGAGGGCCCTCAGGAGCACGATCCTGGTCAGCCAGAAGGTGCCCGCGCGGAGGCGGGCGGGGCAGCCCGCGGGGTCGCGCCCCGGCCACGGCGGAGACCCAGGCCCCGGGTCCCCGCTCCCGGCCTTCCGCCTCCTCAGCGGCTCCCCGGGCGCCGCCATCGCTGGCTGCCAGGGCGCATGTGCGGGGAGCGCCGCGCTCAAGGAGGGCACGCCCACTCCTGCCGGCCCCGCCCACGCCCGGGGAGCGCGCTCGAGGCGTGCAGCAGTGAGGGCAGGGGGCTGCGCACCCGGGAGGACAGCGCGAGTCACTCCACCTGGAAAGGGGTTGACCCACTCCGTTCATTCACGCATTCATTCCTTCATCAGCCAACGTTGCGGAGGCCGCGGTGCACTCCCCGACCTAGGCGCCTGCCCTCATGGACCCTCACTCTAGGGAGGGAGCGGAAGGTACTCCAGAAGTAGAAATGCCATGAGAAGGTGACTGTTGGAGAGCTTGTGTCTGGCCAGGACCAGGGTGGGCCTGGTCAGCGTCCAGGGCGGCTGGGATGTGGGCAGCCGAGGGCCCTGGGGGCTACTACACTCCCTCCGTGTTCCTGCAGAGGAAAGATGGGAGCAGTGGCTCCACCCCCGGGGCTCCAGGCTGCTACTGCCTGCACGCGGAGTGTGGCCAAGCGCCTTGCAGATATCCCCTCCCCGACTCCTCATCTCCACTGTCCGAGGAGGATGCTGGGGTGACGGTCACACAGCTAGTGAGGGACAGTGCAGGCTGCACCATGGAATTCAGCCAGATCCTCCAGCTCAGGTCAGCAGAGCCCCCATCAGCCAGGCAGTGCTCCTGCGCTGGCTGTCAAGACTGGACCTCCAGCCACTGGGGAAAGAAGTCCACTGAGGACTCAGAGGAGAGAACTTACTGACCAATGACCCAAGCAGAACCCTGGGGAGGACACCAGCAACTGTACATTCTGAGGATAGAGCAGCCCAGGCACTGCTCAGGAGAGGTGGCTCCAAAAGGGTGTCCTCTAAGGACATTCCTTAGAGGAAAGAAGAGGTGTGCAGGACAGAATTGGCATTAGAACCTTAGGGATCACTGGGTGAACTGAGGGGCATTTGGAAGCAAATCATTGAGGTTGGTGTGGGTTTTTCTTATTCATTTGTCAGAGCTCTTTACATATTAAAGATCATATTCTTGTGTGTATATTGCCAATGTTTGTCTTAGGTTTTTTGTTTTTATTTTGACATATGAATTATCAATACTTGTGTGGTCAAATGATCAGTCTTTCTTGCTTGTTTAATTATATCTTCACCATCTGTACTGTGAGCTCCATGAGGGCAGGGACTGGCTCTGGACATAGGATCCCCCAGATCTAGGCCAGACCAGTAACTTCTGGAACCCCTCCCTAACCCCCCCCCCCCCCCCCCCCACTGTTAGGGAAACAGCATGTGTGTGGATCTTACAGTGTGATTTTAAAAAAAAGTTTTCCTTTTCCATGAAAAACCCTCCCTCCGGAGTCCCCCTGTGACGTGGGACCTGTAAAAGATGTCGCAGTGGGCGGTGCAAACATCTCCACATCCTGGTGAGCCCCCAGCAGGGAAGCGAGTACCTGAGGGCTCACAGCCTTGGGGATCAGAGGAACAGTGAGCCCTGGCCCAGGCCCTGCTTCCAGGTCCTTCCATGAGAACCCACAACCTGCACCTCTCCTCCCCCTTGTCCGAGCACCACGCTAGGGACAGGCCAGCACAGCCATTTGGGGAAAATGGGGAGGAGCCAGCGCCCTCAGCCCAAGCAAGTCCCTGGGTCCCCATCCGGATGCGAGAGCTGCTCAGGGGATGGAAGGCGAGGGACAGCTCTGCCCTCAGGTGTGACCCGGGTGCTGCTTTTTAGGTGGGGACAGTCCTCACAAAGGGCCCTTTGTGCTCAGCTTCCCCTGGCCAGGGCTGCATTGTTCTCCCCAGGGAAGGGCACAATGGGGCATTGTGCAGAGCAGAAAGGGCCCCCTTGTCCAGCCTCCAGCTCGCTGGGCTCCGGACTCCAGGCTCCCTCGTGGGGTTTGCCCAGGGTGGGCGAGGCCATCGGAGAAGTCTGCTGGGAGCTCATGCTCTCATGTTTCCTCCGGGTAGCCTTCCTGGGAGCTGACCACAGAGATCCAGTCCATCTGAGGGTGTGGAACTGGCACAGGAGTGCACCTCACAGAGTAGGGCTCGGCGGAGGAAAGGCTGGCCAGTGGCTCAGTCTTGCCCATTTCAGCCTGAACATAATCAAAAATCAAAGTACACGTATATTATTCAACCATAAAGAGCAGTGAAGCACTGACATGCTACAACATGGATGAACCTCGAAAACATCAAGCTAGGTGAGAGAAGCCAGTCCCACGGGCCGCACACTGCCTGATTCCACTTATGTGAACTGTCCAGATTAAGCAAAGCCTCAGGGACAGAAAGCAGATGGGTGGCTCCCAGGGCTGGGGGAGGGGGCAAGAACTGACTGATCATGGGCACGGGGTTTCCTTGTGGGGTGATGAAAATGTCCTAGGACTGGAGAGAGCTGGTGGTTACACGAGATGTGAATGCACAAAATGCCACTGAATCATTCACTCAAAAATGGTTCATTTTATGCTATGTGAATTTCACCTCAATAAAAAAAACAAAAAACCCTGCAATGCTGTTGTTTCAGTCACCCAGAAGGCACCGCTTTCACCGGGAACAGGTCATGCCGTTTACACCAAACTCACCTCTTCCTCTGTATTGGGGAGCATCTAACAGTTTTAAAGTAATATTTAGATGTGGGCATGTCTTATGCCCTAAGAAGGCACTCCCCTGAAAAAGCGACAAAACCTTTTATGCAAACCCGGAGCCAACACAGGGTTGGGAGCCTTGCGCCAGAGAGGCACTGAGACGCCTTCCTCTCACCCTGCAGCTCAACACCTGCAAGCCACGGGCACTGTGGTCCCTCCCGAGCTGCCTTGCACCCACACCAGGGGCCAGAGGTGGGGGGGGGGGTTCCTGAACCTCCATCTTCAAGCAAAAAACGATATGAGACAAACTCAAGCTGAGGTGCTTGAGATGCAGCCTGACTGCCCCGGGCTGGTGACCAGAGGGCCGGGGTTGGGTGGGAGTGCTGAGCCCCACCTGGACAGAGCCAGAGAGAAAAAGCCCAGAAAAGGAGGAGAGCGGAGAAAAGGGGGTTCCCTGAGCAGAGCCCGCAGCTCCAGACGGGCCACGGACAAGCCGGAACCCCTAGGTGAGCCCATGTCCCCGGCAGGCCGTCTGCGGCTCCTCCCGTGCAGCCCCGGAGCCCAGCACAGAAGCCTGCGGGCTGGCGGCACTCCCAGCAGCTGCGGGACAGCTTCACAGAGGAATGGGCCCCGTGTCGGCACCTCCCCAGCTGTCCCCGGGCACCCTGGCCTGGCAGCCCCGCCGCATCAGGGCAATTGTCGCGGACGAGCATTTGCAGCTGTCTCTGGCACCCACAGGAACCCAGCTTGGGCCCAAATCTAATTGTGCACCCTTCATTGACTCCAACTTTTTCATGTCTTGACATCTGTTGATGGGAGGGCAGGACCCGCTGGCACTAACATCCGTCACTTTCTTCTAGAGGAGTGGTCAGTTTCGGCCGGTCCCACCCTGACTGTCCAGCGGCCAAAACCCCCTGGTGAGGCTGGCAGGTGCGGGTGGGGGTGGGCAAGCAGGTGCTGGGCCATTTGCTGGTTGTTCTGGAACTGTGACTCACAGACGGCTGTTCTGCTCGGCTTGCCTGTCTCCTCTCCTGGCGCCCCCGGCTCTGGGCCATGAGCACTCCCACGCCCACACCCCAGAAGGAGACGTGGCCCATGTGGCCCTGCAAGCTGGTGAGCCATGACTGTTGGCAGAGTGCAAAACATAAACCCCCAGTGCAGTTACAGTCTTCGGCTGTAGAGTCCTACCGGGGGAAAGAACGTGCAGGTTTTTATTAGAGTCATATTCTGAAGCGGAAGTAGTCTTGGAAACTGTCTAGGCTGTGGGTCTTAAAGAGGAGGCCTGAGGGCTGGATTCTGCCCACAGAGCTGCATCAGTTACCGATCATCACAATGATGCTGCGTAACAGGCAGCCTCAAAACCACAAGTCTTTGTGTTGGCGGGCAGTGATGCCCATCCGAGCCAGGCTCAGGTATGCATCTGTGGTCAGCTGAGGTCTGGGGGCCGTGGCTGGCCCTTGGGATGACCGGGTCCTCTCTTCAGCCATCCTCTGGCCCCACTACTCCCTACAGGCTCGCCCACGACAGGTTCCACATTACCCTCCCTGTCTGGTTCCTGAAGGCACCTGAGTCTAAGATCCCTGATTTGGCCCAAACCTCTTATTTTAGGGGTGGGGGTCTGAGGGATGGGCTGGGAGCTTGTGCCCAACGCCATCCATCAGCAGGTCTTACCTTCCTCTGACTCTCGTCCAGTGACTCAAGCTGACAATTCATTTCTGGAAAGAGTGGGGGTATTCCCGGTACACGTTCTCCTTGAAGGTGTCCACAGATGGGCCCACCAGTGGGAGATGAGCTCTGAAAGTTGCTAGCTTGGGGTGACGAGTTCACAAACAGAAAAAACACAATAACATCAGGTGTCGGCTACTGCACACCTGGCTTCGTATGTACGTCAACTCATGAAGGCCCAGCAGTGCCCCACAGAACAGATGGGCACTCCCCCTGCCGCCCCAAGTAACCCCATGACTCGCCAAAGTCAAAGGGCCATAGAGGACCACATCAAGTCCTGTGACCTCAAATGTCCTCCTTTCTTAGGGGAGCCCCAAACTCCCTCCTACCCTTTTCCACACCCAAGGGCAGGAGGCAGGGGCAGGCAGCCAGCATGCAGCCCCATTCACAAGCCACTGCATGGCCCTCCTGTCACACTGTATTAGAACACTTCGCTGGCACGAGCTTCTGGAGGGCAGAGCCCCTGAGGGCCGTCAACCTCTGTCCAGCACCTGGCATGGCGTAGAAGCTCCAGAAATGTTTGCAGAATGAGCCACAGAACAGAAAGCGCTCAGACACACCCTCCAGGATCTCATCTCATGGACCTGCAGTGGCCGAGTGAGGGGGCTCCCTCCATCTCACGATGGTCATCTGTCACGTCAAAAGCCGCCAGAAACGTGCTTCTAGCCCTCAGCTTGTACCATCACCTCCAACCAACACTCAGGGGGTACGTCAGCAGGGACT